GACTCAGGGTGATCGTAACGGTTTCCATGGTTAGCTGCATTCTCAGATGGATCAATGGTATCAACATCAATCGGTTCTGGGGCAGTCAGTTGAGGAAGAACAGGGGGCACGTGATGCGAATTCTCATCCAACAAGGGGGTGGAATGATCAGTGAAGGGAGGAATGGGACGAACAGTAGCGGCAAGGGGAACAGCCGAGGGCTGTTGATTTTCAGGATAAGGGAAGGGGTTGGCAGTAGGATGCTCGGGATGTCGTGATAGATGAGGGTCGGGCTCAGGTTGAATGGGGTCGTGGTACTCGCTTGTAGGTAACATGAATTACTGAAGCTCAAACCGAAGGCGGTGAAATTGATGTTAGTCCAAAATTGGCCGCAAATTCGGATTATTTGCACATTTCAATTACGTTTTAGCCCACCACTACATCATATTTTGGTTTATGTTTATTAAATTCCTCGATGTCTAGCGTATACGAGAGATTTGAAAGCTCTATAAACCCGTTCACTTGTTTGGCGTGCGACCCTTCCGTTTCTTCATGTAGGGAGTGCTCCGGAGGTACTGCAACGACTCAGCCAAGTGCAAGCGCATTTCATCGTTTAGTGTCTTTTCCTTTTTGATTGTCGACTCCATCTCCTCCATCTCAGCGTGGAATCGTTTGCGAGATTCGGCCTCTTTCTCCCGCACCTGTGCAAGCTTCTGCTCCTCCACAGCGATCAGTTCCTTGACAGTGGCAATCTCGGCCTCGGAGTCTACCATCAGCTTTTGACAGTTTTCCACTTCCTTGGCAATATAAGACTTCTCCTCACTCCGTGCCGTGATCTTGTCGATCGTCTCCTTGATCTTCGCCTGAAGCTCCCAGATCTTCAATTGGTTATGGTAGAACTGAGTGAAAGTGGACTCGGAGGTACCGTTGGATATCAGATCTGCTGCCTTGTCGTCGGTGACGATGGTGGCCACTGGTTGCCCTTCACTTAATACCACGGTGGTTTTAGGCTCTTGATCCACATCAATCTTGTCTTCAGATGCCTCGTCTTTGACAGCAGTTTCAGCAGCCTTTTCTTGAGGTTGTTCGTCAAGTTTGGCTGATTCCGATTCATCCTTGTGTACCACCGATGAGTCAGGCTTGGTCGCAAGCTCTTCTGGTTTGTCAACCTTTGGCGTAGTATCTTCTGATTTAGCCTCCTCAGGCTTGGACTCTTCTGGTTTAGCATCTTCTAGTTTAGCCCCCTCAGATGTAGTCTCTTCAGATTTAGTCTCCTCAGGTTTAGACTCTTCAGGTTTAGCCTCCTCAGGTTTAGCCTCCTCAGGTTTGGTCTCTTCTGATTTTGACTCCTCAGGCTCGTCAGATTTCTCCAGCGGTGACTCCTTTGTTTTGTCTGACTCATTCGGTATCAGTTTGCTGGGCTCCTCTGGTTTGTCAACATCCATGGAGTCAGCATTATTATTAGAGTCCTCCAGTGACTTGGCGGCATCGTTAGGTTTAGTATCCAGTGGTTCAGTGGTCGTAGCAGTACCGTTGGATATCAGCTGATCGCCATTGTCGTTAACCACTTCCTCCTTGACCACTTCAGTCATTTCAACATCTTCTTCTTCGACCATAGGCGCCACAACCTTTTCATTGTGTTCCACATTGTTAGTCTTCTCGGTTGGCTCCACTTTGATAACCTGGAGTTTCAGGGGCTCAGTCTTTGGCTTATTAAGCTCTGTCTCCAAAAACGTCTCCACTGCTTGTTTGCTCACTGCGATATCGCGCTTGAACTGTTCAATCTCATCCTGACGACTGGCAAGCTTCTTGGTGGCAACATCAATGCGTTTCTCAGCGTGGTCAATGTCAACATTGATCGAGGCAAGGGTCAGGTCCAACTCTCGCTGGCGGCGTCCGTTGCGCAGTTGGTGCTCGTCGCTGGCGTAGTGTTCGTAGATTTTTACCAGATCCGTCACGGCATGGTAGTCGTTAATGGCGTTGTTGAGCTGGAGAATGAGCTTGTGAGTAAGCAAATTGGGAGTGAACTTGGTATTATCGGTGCCGTGGCCTCCCACGAGTAGGTTCAGGTGAATACCGATCAATTTATCGTAGTCATTTTTGAGCGGGTTGGTGACGTAATCCAGTTGTAACCGCTTAGTTTCGTAGTATGTGGGAACCTTTTCGTGGACCACTTCCTCAGCATCGTCGCCATTAGCATTATCGTAAGGAGTATAATGGAAATGGACTTCGGTGAGAAGCGACCGTTCGACGTCAGAACACGAGAATTTGGGGATCGGCGGTAGTTCGGGAAGTGGCCACGGTGGGAAACTGGTAAGCCGAGCCTGCGAACGGAACACGTCGTCGAAGAACGGCTTGGAGAGGTAGGTGAGCCGCTGGTTATAGATGGGGACGGTATCCGGTGGGAGGGTACCGACGTGGTCCCGCAAGCACACGATCGACAGTATAAGGCGGTACAACTTATCCTTGGTATCGGTGGGGTCGTGGTCTCGGTAAAAGCGCTGGACGTGTTCGATGGTGCGCATGGGCACTAACCGGATAATCACCGCTTCCCCTCTGCGATTCTGCCGCCGAAGCTGGGTGAAGTAGTCGTTAGAGGTGTCGACGTGGCCATCAAACACAATGAGCACATCGAACTTCACCTGGCTCAAGCTCTCGGCGTCTCTCGTGACTTGCCCGTCGCCCGGTATCAAATGGATCGTCGTCAGCGCCAGAGCTAGCGTTTTATTGTTCTTGTTTGGGTTCCCCAGGTATCTCTTAACATTCTTCTTCGCCACACATCCACCGACAAGCAATGCTTCGACCAAGTCGAACTGGCGCTGGTGGTTATTCATCACGACACCAATATGCTTCTTTTGCGGTTGCTGGCCACTGGGATTGCACTCAATCATCACGTTGACCAAGTCCTTTAAAACATTAAACTTGCCACTGGTCTCGGCGAGCTTGGCCGGCATGTCTCGCACGTACAAGTTCTTGGGCATGTAGTGGTCGATTAAGAGGTAGGGGTGGGTCAGCACCGCCATGCAATTCAGGATACAGATTTCAAGCAGTTTGACGATGATATCTCTCGCGTCCTGAAGCTCACAGTATTTCAAGATGTCGGGATAGTGCAACGAGACGATCTGGTCGGTGAGCTCTTTTTGGAAGTCGTACATCGGCGTCGCAAGACAGTAGTCGCCGCCGTCGTTGACCGAGGGGAGGTGGAGGTCGATGATCGGCGGCTCGGGGGTGCCGTCCAAGATCTTGAACAAGTTCATTCGGGCAGCCCTGACACACCTCTAAGCGTCAACTTTATTTATGTGTATACAGTGGCAGGCTCGGTTTTTTCGCAGTGTGCGGCGTCGCCTGGGTGACAGCTGGTGGTGGTGTATAGAGAGGGTGAAAATAGAGGGTGGCAGGCCAACGATGCGGGGGAAGCACACACGAGAGACAACAGCCTGTGAAAGAAAAAGAGAGTGAGACATGAAAACATTTAGTATTCAATTTGATGTATGTATTGAGTAGATTTCCCTTTATTATTCATCGTTTATTAGTCCATTTTATTAGTAGCTGGGAGGGTCCGGTCTCGACCGTCGAGGGTATTCTGTGTCCGGTGACCATCGCCGAAAGTGCATGGGGGCGGCGGATGGGGGG